CCTCTGCAGGGACAGTTTCTACTGACTGCCTTTTCCTCCTGTATAGGATAATATCAGTTACTTGTGTGTTTTGTATTTTTTAGTTGAATATTTCTCCTCATATTATCACAGAAATTCTGGATTCCGATGTGCCTTTCTATTAGGGGTGGGAATTATTGCTGTTTGTTTAACGACTTTCCTGAATTAATTCTGTATATCATGATTTGTGGGGGTTTTTTTCTACAGTGTGGGACTAATGTCTTTGATCAAAAATTATACTCACCTCTACTTTTAGGCCTGGCATTCTAAAGGCAGCACTGGAGCAGCCTAGCTCAGTCCTGAGAGGATGACTTAAATCGTTGAGCTGATGAGAGTCTGTAATCTGCTGATGGACCTGTTTGCAGCTTACTGAATGGATTTTCTCTTCCTTCCTTCCTTCCTGCCTTCCTTTCTTTTTGCAAGTGATGTGAACTATTCTTTTCCAAACTAATTGTGAACACATTAAACTGTTTCACTCAAAACATGGAAACAGTATTGGGGATGTTGTTCAGTTGGTAGTTACTGCCTAGCATGCACAAAGCCCTGGGTTCAAGCCTCAGAACCAAATAACCCAGCTGTGGTGGATATGCCTTAACCTCAGAACCAGATGTGGAAGCAAGAGGATCAAAAGTTCGAGATCAGCCTCAGCTGCTTAATGAGTTTGCAGTCAGGGTGGGTTACCTGAGAACTTGTGTCAGAACAAAGCCAAAAAGCAAAAACAAACAAACATAAAAACCCACAAAATAAATCCAAAGACTCTCAGGCTCAATTAAAAAGGATATGAATTCTGGGTATAGAAAGAACTATTACAACTCTGCAATAGGAGGACAAATGACCCAGGTTTGTACCAAGCAAGGAACTTGAATTCACATTTCTCCCAAACTGTGCAAGTGGCCAATAAGCAAAAGAAGCTCAGCATCATCAGTCATTAGAGAAACTCAAATCAACACCACTGCAAGAGATCACTTCATACCTGCCTGAATCACATAAACGAAAAGTCAGGCACCAGCAAGTGCCTGGAGCTGGGTATGGTGGTGTAGTCCTGTAATCCCAGCACTTCTGGACACAGAGGCAGGAGGATCATGAACTGCAGGCTAGCGTGGGCTACACAGGAGGACCCTATCTCAAAAACAAATAGCTTCCATTCTGAGTGGCTATTCTAACTTTGCCAAAGTTCACTGAGTTGTATAGTCTTTGAGTGTGGTTCATTTTGGCATATGATTTTGTGTGTGTGTGTGTGAATTTTTAATAATAAAGTTTAAAATAAAATAAGTCAATTAAAAAAAAACAAACATGTACACAAATGTCCATGAATGCATCAGCATTCACAAAAGCCAAAGATAGAAAGAAGAAAAATGTCCATCAGCAGATGCTTGGAAAAACCACGTGAGATACATTAATCTAACAGAGGATGGTTCAGTCTCTAAAAGGAAGGGAAGGAAGGAAAATTTGACACTTGCTACAGCATGGATGACCTTGATGACAGTATGCTAAGGAAAAGGAGCCCTCTCTTTTCCAACAGATAAAATTATATAATGCCATGTGCTAGAGTTTTCTAGAGTAGCCAGACTCAGACAGACGGAAAAGAAAATGATGACGGGGCTGGAAAAATACAAATTCAGTGTTTAATGGGTGTAGAATTCTACCTGGGGAAGGGAAGAGGGTTCTGGAGATAGGCGGCAGTTGCACAAAAGTGTGAATGTCTTTGACATTATTGAACAATGTTCTTGAAGGCAGCTAAAATAGTATTTTTTTTACCTTGTATGCATTTTACCATAATAAAAAATATGGATTTTATCTCAGTCTATAAAAATAAATTAATTAAACCATATTAATAACATTAAAAAACTCGTGATGATCTCAGTAGACACGGAAAAACTATAAAACAAATGAACAAACAAACAACAAAACAGCCCTCGTTTGTGACAAATGAATCTCATAAAACTAGATAATTCTGATAGAAATTTCCTTGAAAGTAAACAAGGCAGGGCATGCACTCTGCAGAGCCATGCAGCGTAACAACTATTTACATAGTGTTACAACATGCTAGAGAGTGAAGGCCTCTGGGACCGGCCAGACGGCTCAGAGGGTAAAGGCACTGACCACCAAACCTCGGGACCTGAGTTTGATCCACATGGTGGGAGGAGGCAGCTAACTCCTGAACGTTGTTAGTCTTCTGTCTCTCGACGTGTGCCATGACGTATGTATGCTCCATAAATAAAGGTATTTTTTTTTTTTTTAAGATTAAGATATCTAGATACTCAAAAGTGTTCAGGAGGAGGTGTGTAGGTTATGTGCAGATATATTTTGGGAGACATGAGCATCCATAGTTTTTTTTATGCCTGATCAGAATTCTGAAGGACAAGGGACAGTGGCAGTTCTCCACAGGCAGTCCCCGGGGTCTCTGCTGAAGAGTCAAAGGGTCCTGCAATCTCAGAACAGCTTCCTCTATGCTACCCTCTCTTTCCCCTGTTTCCTCCAGCCGGCCCTAGCTCCCTAGCTCACACTTAGCTCCCTCTGCCTGCTCACCTTTGCCTTCTCAGAGCCTGCCACCTCTGTCTGGATCCTTGTTTCCTGCTCCCCTCTGTTCGTTGACTTCCGCTGACCAGGACCACCTGGGAGCACCCCATCACCCATCTCTAGCCACGGAAAGATCAAAATCAGCAACAGTCTGTACTGAGTGGGCGTGCTGCCTCTGCAACACCATAAGGCTGAAAAGCTGTCCGTCTAACTATGATAAGCTGGGAACCATCTGAAGACACAATCTGGCTTCCTCGTGAGGTGACCCTGCGGAATTGCTCACACCCTTTTCCAAAGTCTCTCTGAGATAACATGTCATTTGCCACTGTGGTAGCTGCCTGGACAATTATGTTGTCTTGACTGTCCACATTCCATTCACTGTCACATTTGCTCACTGTCTGGATTGATTTGTTAAGACTGACAAAGCACCAGGAGGCTGGGCGGCTCAGACAGCAGCAACGAGCTCCTCACGGCTGTGGAGGCTGACAGTCTCAAGATCAAGTTGTTGACCCAGTTATTCTTCTGACTGCCCCTACTGGGGGCTGGTCGGGATCCTTTGGTCTACAATGTCCTCCCCAGGCTATGAATGTGTCCCGAGCTCCACCTGTGATAGGAATGCCAGTCAGGGTGGGATAAAGGCCCACCCTGAAGACCTCGCCTCACTTTCTCTATCCACATTTGATGAACTGGAGATTAGAACTATATCACATGAGTTTCAGGGGCACAGTGTCTGCCCCAGAAGGCTAATTTATTGGCATTTACAATCCTTTCCTGAGGAACCGGAGCCTTGATTCCAGAGTCTGCTTCAAGAAGCATCTAAATCAAAGACATCTCTAAAATACAAGGATTCTTTAAGAAGTTACTTATAGACTTTTAAAATTAAACACATATTCTAGAGTTATGTATTTTATGTGTGTGAGTATTTGGCCTGGATGTGTGTGTGTGGACCACATGGTACCTGGTGCCCAGGGAGGTCAGGAGAGGGCGACGGATGCCCTGTAACTGAAGCTGAAGACGCTTGTAACTTGCCATGTGGGTGCTGGGAATAGAACCCTGCCCCTCTGCAGCAGCAGCCGGCCCGCGTACTGCTGAGCCCTGCCTGTAGACTCCTTATATCTACACCGCAGGATGTGACCCGCTCCCCGTTTGATTAGCTCTTTCTGTAGTGCTGGGGACGGAAGCAGGGCCAGGGTATGGCGGGCAAATGCTGATGGCTCTTCGCTGTGTTAGGTTTTATTGATCTTACCCAGGGAGAGTGCTCTGGACGTGGGAGATAACACATAGCAGACTTAATTCCCTAGAAATGGAATTATCCTAGAATAAGAACCGTCTAATCAACAAAAGTAATTATTCTTTAAGCAGGTGGAGCTTAAAGAACAACATGCTAGAGCCTGTTCCCTCCTTACACCGTGCAGGTTCCGGGAAGAGAATTCAGGTAGTCAGGTTTGGCAGCAAGTGCCTTTAACCTCCAGACTGTCTCAAGAGGCCATTTGCTCTTCAATAACGTAAAATCTCTGGTGAGTCTATTACTTGCTACCACTGTGAGACACTGAATGAGCGGTAAGACACAGGTGTTCTGAGTAAATTACCGGTCTAATGGTCTCTATTAAAGGCACTCCTTGCTAGCAGAAGGTTTTTGGGGTGACCAGGGCGATATTAGTACTTTCTAGAGATCATTCCTCTCAATTTCACTGTGAACATAAATGTGTTTGAAAAATAGTTAATTTATTAAAAACAAGTGAGAGCAACTCCTATGAACAGCAACTCCGGACTAAAAAGATTTTCAGGGAAGATTCAAATTCATATGAAACATCATCAGGTTCCTAGTGCCATCTACTGGTGAGACGTGACTATTGCTCTAGAAACGATCCTTCCCCCACCCCCCTTTAGAGCTCGTTTTGATGGTTATTTAACAAGTGTTTTGTTTTGCTTTTAGACAAGGTCTCAAGCAGCTCACGCTGGCCTCAAGCTTGCTCTGTAGCTTAGGCTGTCTTTGAATTCCCACGATCCTCCTGCCTCCCGAGTACTGGAATCTTCATTTCTGCACACTTGTAATTAGAGAGCCCCATTCTGCACCCCGGCCTTTCAGCAGCCTTGCAGCCAGGTCTTTCCTTTCTAGTTTCCCTGAAGGTTCTGCCTCCCTCTCCCCAACCCTTTCCCCCGCCTCATCTTCCCACACTCCTACCTTCCCCTCCAAACTGGCTTAATTCCGCCCAGGCCCGACCCTTTCAATCTTGTTGCAGTCCAACCTCCACGCTCCGGTCCTGCCTTCCCCGGGAAGGGCCCGCCTCCTTGCCACGCCCCGCGGCATAACCCCGCCCTAATTAAGCTCTTGGCCCTGCCTCCTCCTTCGGCCCCGCCCCTCCTCGGGCCAGCGGGGTTTTGTCCAGACTCTCATGCCTCCTCTCCTCGCTTCCTCGGTTCGCCCTGAGCCTGACCCTGAAATCCACCTCCAGGTTCCGCCCTGCTTCCTCTAGCAGCGCCTCTCCGCGCACCGGCCGGGGCGCCATTTCCCCGCCGTGGTCCCGTCCCTCCAGGGGCGGAGCTGCGCCAGGTGCGGCCCCGGGGCGTGGCTGGGTTCCGGGAGCGCAGGTGCGGCTTCCGTGTCAAGATGGCTGCCGCCTGTCGCTCTTGGACTGGGCTCCCTCCCGGCCGCCTCTGCCGCCGGCTCGCCGGGGCCCAGCTGCTGAGCGTCGTCCTGTGCCTCCTGTGCTGGGTCCCGGCGGCTGTGGACGCAGTCCCTGAGCTCGGGCTTTGGACGAGGACGGTCAATGACGTAAGTGCGCTGTAGGGACTGAGGCGTGGCGCTTCTCGGGCTCTCAGGGCCCTGGCCGGCTAGCTCCGCCTGCGAACCAGTTTGGCCCTAGGCTTTTTCGCTAGGGCTCTGTCGGACCAGCAGCGGGTCCTCTTGACACGCCTGCTGTGCCATTTGCCTAGACTGGGCTCTGGGAAAGGAGCGTTCCCTCCTCCGCCTGACGTGGGCTTCAGGGGTTCCAGTGGTGCTTAGGGCGGCTTTCCCTCCCAAACGCTCTTGCCGTTCTTGAGGCTCTCCAACCCGCCTCCTCCTGGCCTCTCACTGTGCCCTGACACGGCGTGTGTACATCATGCCTTCATGTAGTCAGTTCAGAACCCCCAATCTCTGCATTCCCAGCGGCACCGTTGGAACTGAACGCTTTGGCTAGATGACTGCTTCAGGGGCCACATCTCAAGGCCACAGGGAGGTTTGTCTCGTCTTTCTGTTAGAGCATAAATATAATCTGCTCTAACAGTCATGTATACAGTCGCCTTGCCTGTCCTTTTCTTGGGTTTCTGTATGTTTTTTAGCTTCGTATCACAGTTCAGGACTTCTACGTGTGTAGGTGGGGTGGGGGCTGTGCTTAGGCTGTGTTTAAAGAGCAAGTCTGGAGGCAGAGGTGGGTGAAAACTTCCTTAACTGGGCAGGCCATTAGAGAACTTGCCGTCCTGTGTGGTTAAGAGATGATGTGGGCATAATGCAGAGGCAGGATTATGGAAAGTCTTGCAAAAGAGCCAGGATATCGGGAAGAGGCATTGTCTTGAGTCTTCTGAAGTCGGATGACTCACCCACATCTGCTTAGGGCTCACTGAAACAACGTCCAAGTTCTGAACATGAAATTTATATTTATATTGCTTCAACCAAAAGTAGTAGCAGAAGATGCACATACTTCCAAATACATAACTACAGGGGATCAAGTGTAGGCTTCGCTCTGTGTCCTGGCTCAGTGTAGCAGTGTCTTTTACGATTCTTCTGAGTAGGTGCGCTGTTTTTTGACTGCCATATGCTTTGGTCAGGCTGAATTTATTTCCTGTGTACCTCAGGCCAGTTTGTGTTTTCCTTAGATTAATTTACCAGAAATTTATCTTTTAGAGCAGAGAGAATGAGACTTATCATTGCATATTTACCAACAATAAGGCCTGCCCATCTCTACTGCTGAATTTCTCATCAATAAAAGGCAGTGTTTGTTAAAGCACTCTTAACAGTTTCCTGCTGCTTCTGTAGTGAATGCAATTAAGCCAATGTTTCCAGGTTCAAATACACTGCAAGTAAAACAGCTAGATGAAAACTGTTACTGAGCTTGAGCATGTGTCTAAAGATTTTTGTCAAGCATACTTTGGATAATAAGAATCCCACTGGGACGAATGGCAGGTTCTTTTGACAACCAGAGAAGTGTAGTTTTTTACTGTCATATGTTTTGGTCAGGCTGACTTTATTTCCTGTATAGCTCAGGCCAGTAGTGCCAGCAAGCCTTTCTTTGCAAAAATCAGGCTTTTTTTTTTTTTCCCTTAGAATGAGTTGTCAGAATTTGTCCTTTAGAATAGGGAGAATAAGACTTTCTTTTGTTTCATGAATTCATTAAAGGGGAAAAAATTAGGTTCTTTTGGCTGTTAAAAATCAGCAAGTAGTTTGAGCATCACCATATGCCATTTACTAGATTGGTCATTATTCTTGCAAAGATGAATTTTAGATATAATCCTTTCAAGGAGCACAGACAGTATCAGGGACAACACATTTATGAGCAGATGCTTATGTACACCATAATGTTCTTGGGATATTATTATTCAAGTACTGGTGGAGTCAGCCTAACCCTGGTTTTTGGAGATGTGTAGCTACTCTGAAAAGATGAATAGGTGTTTTCTATGTAAGAAAAGGAGTGGAACAAAAGTACTGTGGTGAATTCTTGGTGTGTTTGTTGAATGAAGTTTTAGAAGATGGGGGCTAAGGTCACCGTAGGCCTCCCTCACTAGACTTCAGCTTTATTCTGGACCTTCAGGGCTAAGACAATGTCTGGAGTAAGCTGAGCTTGGACATCATGTCTCTTGTAAAACTGGTAGCTGTTGTGTGCCTTTCCTTCTGAGACTCTCTCTAAAAGGATAGCGACAGAGGAAAGTGACAGCTCCGTGGGAGTCCATTGCATGAGCTGAGAAGTGCACTGGGGTGACTCGGAAGAACAAGGATGACCCTAGCTGGGTCAGAACTGAGAGCTGTGTCACTGAGTTCTGCTGTATGAGTTGCAGGCAGCCTCTCCACCCCAGCGGTTGTTCCCTGTGTGCACGACTTCAGACAGAACCCTTGTTGGCCCTGTTAGCTGCTTGAGTGTAGGCCTCCCTCTTCCCTCAGGGAGGAGGTGTGAAGCCTGCATAGTAGAGCAAGTGCCGTTTGGCTCTAGGTGAGGGAACGCTATGGCTCACAGGCACAGGATTGCTAGGTCTCCTTTTAAGTGAACCAAAATATTTACTAATCACCTAACTCAGTATTGTTATTTTTTATTTTATTTTATTTATTTTATGCTCAGCCTGGCCCAGATATGCCCTCCCCTTCCATTTTGGGGTTTGATTAGACCCTGGGATCATCAGTAGTTAGTTTTGGAGATGAAGAGCAGATAGCCACTACAGGGGTTTTGGCAGAACTGCTAATCATTTTGGCTCCCGTGTAAGGATAAATTGTCGACTCAGGTCTGGAGGCAGAAGAGCAGTATTGCAGAGGTCAAAGCAGAAATGCTGAGGGCCTGTATCACAATCATGTTGGCAGGTGTGGAGAGGAAGAACTCCATGTGGCAAGCATGTACAGTAACGAGGCATGCACTGGGGTTGGGGATGGACGTGAAGGAGTGATGGCTTGGGTGACTGGAGGACTCTTCTCATCAGGCAGTGTAAGACGTGGTGAGAACACAGAGGAATGGGCCTGTTACTCAGCTTAGTGTAGTGTGCCTATTGAACATATCTATGACACATGGTCTGGAGACACAGGGATCTGGGCTGCTGATTTTACTACTGCAGAAACTGTCGGCAGGGAGAAAGAGTGACCTATCCTGTTGGTGCTCTTTAATTCCTAACTGCTCTTTCATTTAGCATGGTTTCTTCTTGCAGGATTTTTATTCTTGGGAAAAACTGTTTGACTTTAATTGTGGCTAATGTTTGAAACACAGTGGCTGCTAGAGGCTGCATAAAGGAGATACGGGGTCACTGGGAAGCACACCCAGGGCCTTAGCATGCTGTGTAGACTCTAGTGAGCTACACACTCCCAGCCAGGAAGGAGATTTTGAGCTGGTTCTTGAGGTAAGAAGGAACTAAGTAGGTGCAAAGGAAAAGTGTGAGAGGTGTTTGCAGTTTTCAGGTTGATTGCCAAGGTCTTTGCAGCAGGAATGAAGCATGGCTGGAAAGGTGAGCAGGCTTCGATTGTGGGGTCTGTAGGATTTTTGCCCTGCTCAAGTACAGCGGTAAACAAAATCATTTTGGAGAGAGGTATTATTTCTTAAAAGTACTTTCACTTTGATGCCAAGAGAACAGCCTGCAAATGTATAGTTTTGTGTTATGGCCAAGCGGCACTGACCATGATGGCCAAAACCCTTCTGTTTTGTGTATCACCAAGGCCCAACTGAGACTTCTTGAGGTGTTTGTTGTTGTTTTTTTTCCCCTCAACAAAGTTTACTGTGTGACCCAGGCCAGCCTTGAACTCATGATCCTTGAAAGCAGGGCCACTACTTCATACCCTTATCCACATCAACTAGGGAATAGACATAGCAATAAGATGTTAAGCCTGCAAGGGATGTGGTCAATTTTACATTATAAGATTTATTTTTAATTATGTGTATGGGGTGGAAGAGAATATGTACATAAATGCAGGTACCTGTAGAGGTCAGAAAAGGACATCATATCCCCAGGAGCAGGAGTTATAGGACAAGGGTGTTAGGAACTGAATTCAGGTCCTCTGCAAGAGCAGTAGGCATTTTTAAACACCCAGTCATCTCTCTAGCCCCAGTTTTATGTTTTAAAATGTCTTGACTTGAAGGCTAGATATGAAGGCTTTAAAATAAAGTCATGCTGATGAGATAGTATCACAAGGACTAGAGTGTTCCATTTAGAAGATAAAACTATGTTTAAATAAAGAAATTTTAATTAAGATTTTTCTGTATTTGTTCTTTACTTTAGAAATCAGGACCTTTGATATTCAGGAAAACTATGTTTAATGCCACTAAGATTAGATTTTCTGGTAAGTATATTAATATACAATTCTGACATATTGTAAATAAAAATGTTAATATAAACTAGTTTAAGATACATTAAGCTTAGTGTTTTCTTTTAACTGGTTCTGACATTTTAGAATGTTGTTTCATTCAAGACTTAGTTATTTGCAAGGATACGTTTTTTGTTTGTTTGTTTGTTTGTTTTTCTAAAATTCTTTCAGCCTTCTGTGTGTGTGTGTGCTTGGTTTGGGTTAGCATCCTTTGAGGTGGTCCTTGCCTTCTGGTACTCATCATCCACCATGTTCTTCAGAGTTGTTCTCAAACGTCTGAGGCTATGTTATAACAAGATACTCTGGTTTGTCTGCCCCTCCTAGGTGTCTTGCTCTGGAGAAGACAACTGTAGTGGCATGAGACACCCTGATAAGAGCTTTCTCTGACTTTAGACCTTTTCGCTATTAATCACACCACCTAGAACTTTAAGCATTTGGTGGTGCTTTATGGCATTCAAACTAAAGGTCAGACTGTTTGGTCTGTTTTAACCATACCTAGGCAGTCATCTTTGGTCTGGGCTCACACATAGACTAGGCGTGGGTGCATCTCTATCCTCCTCTTCACTCCTGCTTTTCTTCCTCCAGGTAACATGCCTTAGGAGCCCTAGATCATGCCATGTACCCAGTGCCCCTTGACACCCTGTTTTTAGCCTCTTGGACTTCTAAAAACGCCCAGTTGTTAACTCCCCACAACATTTTAGTTCATAAAGAGGAATTGTTCTTCCTAGTGACTGTGTCCTTTCATGGTACAGCAAGAAATTCATTCAGTGTGTTTTGGATGAATAAGTGAGTGAGAGAATGGTAGACTGATAGAAGCCTCAGCTTAACAAGCCAGGCTGCTTCGGTGATTCCAACACTGGACTTACATTTGAGTGGTGTAGCAAGCTCTGGGTAGCTGTTAAAATTTAATGAATTTACCCATCTCATTTTACAGTGATTTAGAGAAATTAGATAATGTTTTACTCTTGTTACTATTAAAACAGCCAGTTTCAGACAGCATTTTTGAGGCCTCCAGTTTATACTAGAATATAATTAATGTACGGTAAAACTCTTTGTCTGGCCAGTGAAGTCGTTCAGTTGTTCTGGACCTGTGAAGTTTACCATAGAGTGGCATTTGAAGTATCATACCTGTCACAATGAATACTCTGACCTGGAGGAGGTAAGTGAAAACAAGTCTTTAGTGTGTACAAAGCTGGGAGGGAAAATTATAAATGCCAAGAATTAATAGCACACCAGGTGTGTAGACTAGATGTGAGCTTATGATTTTAGAAATGCTCTGAGTTGATTTTGGGACTTAAGACAAATGAAAGTGTGGTGCTTCTTGACAAAACTATAAACTTTGTAATCTCCTTGTGAAATATCTTTTAAAAAAAAGTTAGTGATATTTAAGTCAGCCTTGTGGGAGCCATTGATAAAAGGCTTTGACAAGTCAGCTTAATTTGAGAAGGAAGTTGAGATGTAACATCATTGAAACAATTAGCTGCTGAGACCCCAGAACCTTAGGAGGCTGAGTAGATTTCATGATTCAAATCAGTCTCTAAGGAGAGAAGAGTAGGGATATTTGAGAAAAGGCAAAGAGAGGAAGCAAAAGGCTGTGCCAGGAATGGAGTCTCCTCTCCTGGCTGCCAGGAGCTCCTGATAACCTCTTGCAAGGTGCTCTTTGATGAGTCCTTTGACAATTTCTTCTCCATTATGTTTGGCTTCTAGCCTGAGTAAGATTGCCTTTTCATTTAGAATAGAATGCCCCTCAGTTTGTCTGTCTCTGCTTCCTCATGATCATATTCCAAGTCGGTACTTCCAGCAGGTATTCTACACAGTTTTGAGATGTCCATTGTCTGGTGGTTAACTTAAATGGTTGAAGGAGGAAGTATTTGTTGATCTTTCCACTGGAGAGTTAACTATGTTTTATTGGTACACGGAACAGTATTTTTATAGCTATGTAAATGTCCTGGGGTTTTTCTCCATCAGATATTTATCCATTCATTTTAACAGCCTTTTATGAGTTTTGCCTTATGAATCAGTTGTTATTATAATAATTGCCAAGTAATGATTTTATTATTTTCAGTTTTCTTTTAAATTTTTTTAGAATTTTTCTATGTGAATGAGCTGCTCTGTTTCTTCTATGCTTTCTATTGATCCTAGGCAACAGTATGGACACATTACTTTTTACTTTGTTGTATAGGCCGTGATAGCTCAATTTTTGTTATTGTTGTTGTTTTTATGTTTTTGTTTTTTCAAGACAGATTTTCCGTGTAGTCTGGCTGTCCTGGAACTGTCTCTGTAGACCAGGCTGACCTCGAACACACAGAGATAGAGATCCACCTACCTCTGCCTTCCAAGTGCTGGGATTAAAGGCATGCACCACTGTATTCCCAGCTATTGTTTTGGTTTTTGAGACAGAGTCTCCCTGTATGTCCTAGGCTAGTCTTAAATAGCCTTTTCCTGTGCTTCAGCCTTTAAGGTCTTCGATTAACAGTCGTGCACACACCTACTGTTGTGTCTTAATCTCTTTCCTCACAGTAAGATTATGCTTGTACCTGATACTGTATGCAAACACATTGAAATGGTTAAAATGGTATGGTCACCTCGGTTATACTTAGAATCACAGTTAATTTTATTTTCTCTTTGATATTTTATTTTATGGCATATTTTCTTTTCTTGTTTTGTTTTTCAAGACAAGGTTTCTGTCTGTAGTCTTGGCTGTCCTAGACTCACTCTGTAGACCAGACTGGTCACAGAGATCCACCTGCCTCTGCCTCCCAAGCACTGGAATTAAAGGCTGGCATCACTACCACCTGGCTAATTCTTGGTATTCTTTAGATATGAAGTGTGCTGGATTTTGGTTTTTGGTTTTAAATCTCCTAGGGAAAAAAAAAAGTAGAAGTAGTAAATTACAACCTAGAATTTTACCTTGGATAGAAGCTGTCCCAAAAACATGATGATGCAGACGTCTGTGCTTATTTCAAGAATGTTGACTGTTGGACAACAAAAAGTGAGAACTTAGACTGCAGCAGTGATTTACAGGCATTTCCCTCATTAAATGTGAGTATCTGCCTTGTTAAAATCAGTTATGTTAAAATCAATTTACTTTATTTGAAGTGAATACAAATACCAAACTTGAATAATGTTTTGTCAGTATTTTTCAAAATGAAGGTGCTTGTCTTTAAGTCTTGGTTTTGGTTTTTGCATGTATGCATTAGGATGTAAGAAAGAAATTGGTATCCTGTTCCTTAACCTCCCCCCTCCTCTGGAAATGGTCTCATTGTTTCATTATGTACTCCTTACTGACCTGGAACTCTCTTTGTAGACAAGGCTGTCCTTGAACTTGAGAGCTCCACCCGCTCTGCCTCCAGTGGCTGGACTAAAGCTGTGCGCCACTGTGCTCCCAGTTCTTTCTCTTCCAGCCTCACAGAATGTTTTTATGATCTGTTCTCCCCTTTGATCTCTTACTCTTCTCTTCACATTCTCAGGCTTTTTTGCTCCCAGCATCCTGTCAAACCAGCTCTAGTCAAGGTTGCCAGGAACCTCTGTGTTGTTAAGGCCAGTGATCTATTGCCCTTACCAAAGGTCTTGCCTTTTCACCTGCAGTTAACAACCTGAACACTACTTCTTCCTGTGCACTTGTTCCTTCTCCCAGCAAGTGGTGTTATAAGTGTTAATAAAACAGTCATATGTTCTATCCTGGTTTGTTTTGGTAGGGTGGGAAAGTCAACTTGACATAAGCTAAAGTTTACCTGGAAAGAGGAACTTCAGTTGAGAAAACTGCCTCCATCAGATTGACTATAAGCAATTCTGTGGCATTTTCTTGATAATGATTAATGTGAGAGGACCCAGTTCAGTAGCACAGGACCACTGTGGCAGGTGGTCATGGGCTGTATAAGAAAGCAGGCTCAACAAGCCATGGGGAACAAGCCAGTGGGCAGTTTTTCTCCATGCTTCAGTCCTGCCTTCAGGTTGCTGCCCTGGCTGCCCTCAGTGATGGGTTGTGACCCAAGAGTGTAAGAAGTAAATCCTTTCCTCCCAGGCTGCTTTTGGTCATGGTGTCTATCAGAGCAACAGAAATCCTAACTAAGACATGTGGATAGGAAGGTTATGTATCATTGTAATTTTCTTTTCCTGAAAATTCTAAAATGAAAATGTCTTTAATGAAAGACTTAAAGCTCTTTTTTAAATGTATGTGGAAGCATAATAAACATACATACAAGTACACATATGTGCCTCAGTCATTTTCAGAAACTTCAGACTTTGACCAAGTACAGAACTGCAGCACCTAGACCCCCTGCCTCTTCCTACACTTCCTCCAACAGCACCCACTCCATGAAGGAAGCCAGCCTTAAAGGTGAACTTTGTCCGTTCATGCTCAGAGTACAGTGGGACTTGTTCTCTGATATCCAACTTGTAAATCTGTTTTCTTCTACTGCTTTTGTAATTATTAAAAACTACTTTTTTCTACAGAAATGTAGTAATATCGAATGGAATTATTTTACTCTTTTCCAGAATAAAGAACTAACAGGCATCAGAAATATTTCAAGCCAGGAAGGATCAACGGTAAACCCTTTTGTCTTTAAATCCAATATGCACAAAGTATACTGAGATTGAAAATTAATCCAGTGACTGTGGAATAATAATACCTAAAATTGGAAAAAGGGAACTGTTTAAAACAGTATTTTTCTTTTGTTTTTGTATGTATTGCAGATATTATATCTGCTTTTGTTTAAAAATCTCTTTGAAGACTAGCTCTGTAGCCTTTTCTTTTTTAATTCCAAGACAGCATGGCAGTGTGCAGCTGCTGTCACCCTGCTGCGATGAGAAGCAGGAGTGTAGCACAGCAGGAAAGGGAAACTAGCATTGTGGGGAGTCACTAAGAGGCATAGGCCTGAGGATGAAGTACAGAGGGTAGGAGGAGTTCTACGTGGGACTTAATTGGGCATAGAGAGCTTAAATTTAGCTTTCATAGAGTGACTTTACATTTTTCTCAGCCATTTCAGACAGAAATCTAATAGGAAGACATTCACTGCAGTGACTAGGACAGACTCTTTGCACAGATTATCTTATGTGGAGAAGTGGGAAATGAAAGGAAGACAGAATACCCATGGATGTGGACTGTGCATGGTGATTTTGTAGGGCCATTGAAGGATTCATTAACATTATTATGGGGCAGTTTTAGTTTTTTGTTTATTTTTATTTCATTTTAGTGTGTGTGTGTGTGTGTGTGTGTGTGTGTGTGTGTGTGTGTGTGTGCGCGCGCGCATGCGCGCGCGTGCATGCATGCTACAAGTGTACCGAGTAGAAATCCCTTGGAGCTGAAGTTACCAGCCACTAAGCCACCTGATGTGGGTGCTGGGGACTGAACTCTGGTTTTCAGGAAAAGCAGCAAGAGCTCTTAGCCCTGAGCCATCTCTCCACCTCCACTGGACAGCTTTACTTGTTAGTGGAGCAGCTGGTAACAGAGCGCCCTGAGACAGTTGAGTCATTTAGTCCATAGATACAGCACATGCAGATCAAAAACAGTCAGAAAAGTAATTCTGCATGGAACATTTATAGAAGTTTTCATGTCATTCCCTAGACAATCTGATATAACAACTGTTTGCAAAGCATTTACATTCTGTTAGGTATTAGAAATAATCTAGAGATGATTTTAGGTATACAGGAGGATGTGTGTAGACCATGCAAGTGCCATGGCATTTTATATAAAGGACTTGAGCATTTAAGGATTTTGGTACCTATTGGGGTCGGTGCTGGTACCCATCCCCTGTGGAGACTGAGGAACAATTTTGTGGTTATATTTTGTTTTGTGACACAGTCTTGCTGCTGCCCAGACTTGTCTTAGACTCAAGCTATCTGGCTAGTCTGACTAATTCTTGGCATTATCGCACTTTTCTCTCAACTCAGTTTTTTAAAAACAACATTTGTTAAACTTGAATGTTTGGTAGTATTAGGATGGAATATGAGAATTCCAATATTAGAATATTTTTAGTGTTTTTTGTTTGCTTGTTTGTTTTTAAGAGAGGTCTTATGTATCCCTGGCTGTCCTCGAACTCACAGAGATCTGCCTGCCTTTGCCTCACGAGTACTGGGATTAAAGGCTTGTGCCACTTCTGCTTGTCAGATTTTTATTTTTATTTTTATTTTTTAAGACGGGGTCTCACTCTGTGGTCCTGGATAGCCTGGAACTTACTGATATAGACCAGGCTGGCCTTGAACCCACACTAACCCAGAAAAATATTTGAATGATAATATTAAGGAGAACACAGAATGAGAATGCATGGGGAACCTATTACAGTTTAAGTAGTAGAAGATACTGAGGCTGAGACTCTTTCATCCCTTCTCTAGGGTATGAGGGGTAGGGTAAGAAGTAAATGGCAGCGGAGTCTTCCCTTTCCTGCCTGCTATTCCTTCCCTCTGTTTTATCTGTTCAGTTATCAAACAGTTTAAAAGTGTTATCTATATAACTGTATCTCATATACTAATCTGTTTCAAAGAACAATGACTTATTCTCCCTATTGCAGGATGTTGTAGCCAGGACCCAGAAAGATGGCTTCCATATCTTCATTGTTTCTATTAAAACGGAAAAAACAGATGCAAGCTGGGATTTAAATGGTACAGTTAACCCTTATGCATACATTATCTGTATTCTATAGTTTTTTTTTGTCATTAATGTGAATCTATATTATCTGTTTGAAATGTGTCTTTCAAAGAAGAATCTGTTAGCCATACATCTATTTTGAAGACTTCAAACTTGATGCTTATCTAAAACTAATACTTTTTTAATAGCTAGGGAGGAATGAACTTTTGTTGACAATGTTCTTATAAATCTGATTATTAATTAACTCTTGTATTTCTTCTTATCCTTCCCCTTTGCTGCTGTCACTAGTTTCTCTTTCTATGGTTGGGCCTCATGGATATATTTCTGCATCAGACTGGCCGCTAATGATTGTGAGTATTTCTCTTCCTCTTTTCCAAAATTAATTTTAAAGAATTTTAAGAGTTCAGTAGTAGTAATTTTTTTGTAGGTAATGCTTTGACATGCCCTCCATTTCTGCTTCCAGAGTGACTAAGAAATGAATGGTGGGGGACTCAAGAGATGTCAGCTCTCTTGAGTCAGAAAGGCCAGAGGCTAATACTGTTTCTCTTCCTGCAGTTTTACATGGTGATGTGTATTGTTTACATATTATATGGTGTCCTCTGGCTGATGTGGTCTGCCTGTTACTGGAAGGATATATTAAGAATCCAGTTCTGGATTGCAGCTGTTATTTTCCTAGGAATGCTTGAAAAAGCAGTTTTTTATAGTGAATACCAAAACATCAACAGCACTGGACTGTCAAGTAAGTTTTGACTGTTTCCATGAGTTGTGTGTAGTGTCTTTTAGCTAGTGTGAACTTAGCTGTAGGAAGGCCCCTTTTGTACATAGTTTTGCAAATAGCTCTGTTGCCAGTAAGGAGGATGGACACCAACAAGAGAAAGCGAGGAGGTTTGGAAGATGGTTTCAGGGCATTTGGCACTCACTAAGAAAGCATGAGGACCCGAGGCAGAATCCCAGTCCCCACGCCCAGTACCCAGGCATGGCTGCACATGCGCTTACAGCCACAGCACCGTGGGGATCCATGGAGCTTGCTGGCCAGCGGCCTAGCTGCAGGTTCAGTCAGAGACTGTGTCAGGGGACTAAGGTGGAGGGTGGTCCATCAGGACACCTGTATCTTCTAGTGTATAGGCATGCGCACCCTCAAGCCTCCACAGAGCTGAGAATGTCAGAGGAGGACCTGATCATCTGAGCTAGCATATATTCTCTCCAATTGTAGTCTTTTTGCTGATTTTCCCTTCACTTTTCTTTCTGGAAAAAGAAAATCCCCGTCCTCTAATTGTATTAAAACAATACCAAGATGTGGTAAGGGTACCTTAGGTGTCACCAATACTTTTGATTTTTCCCCTCTCTTTTTTGAAAAAGAAAAGCTCTTTGGCCCCAGAGAGTAATATGAGTAGCACCAAACTGTGTGGTGTCTGTAGTCTGTGCTCTCCTCTTCACCCTGCAAGAGCTTCCTGTGACCAAAGGAGGCACTACCATGGTTTACACACTGGGATGTTTGAAGCTGGCAAGGCTTATAGAGGATAGAGTCAGACAGGCCAGAGAAGTGAGGATTCACTCTTACCACTGACACTTTGGAAAGGGAGAGGAGATTTCAAGGGGTAAAATTGTCCTTTTGAGTGCAGTTACAAATGACCTTGTCGTAGATTATTAACAGACATAGTGATGCTAGCCAACGCCATAAAAAAAAAAAAAAAAAAAAGAAAGAAAGAAAAGAAAAACTGAATTAAAATATACATGAAACCACTTTGGACTCAAGTTGCTGTTTATTGAACCTGAGATGGATTCACAGAAATTTATTACACTAATTTTTCTCCGTTGAGGAATGCTTGAAATTTCTCAAAATAGAAAGGCTGAAAGCATATCTGCAAAAGACTAAACAGAGGGCCGACATGGAGGACGGCCTGGTAGAGTTGCTCCTGCTTTATCTGGGCTTGTGCAGATACAAACAGAAATGTTCCCATGTGTACTCTAAGTCAGTGAAGTTCTGCTGTAGCCCAGCGGTGGGGAACTTACAGAGGCCCTGACTTCCTTCCCAAGTGTTGTCAAGAGTGGGTTGAGGTAGTATCTGGTGATAAAGGGTTGGGGTTGAAACATGACTGAGGGTCAGAGAAGGCAGCTCATCCCCTTTCTGTTCTGGTAAGGATCTCTTACCTATAGAGAGTAAGAGGGGTATGAGCTGAAGAACAGCAAAAACCAGACATCCATGAGAGATGAAGTGCCATTTGCAGCCATCAGGGAATCCAAGTCCTTCATCTCAGGTGTCAGCAGAGAGGTTAGCAAAGAAACTCTGGGTCGCTGATAGTATGTTTGAAGAGTCCTGTAAAGGCCATGCACTAAATATTTTTGACTTTGCACACCACATGGTCTCTGCTGTAGCTTCTCAGCTCTGTCATTGTGAAAAGCAGCCACAGACAACAATAAACAAATAAGCATGTTTGTGTTATGAGAAAACTTGACTATAGAACTGCAAGGCCAGATTTGGCCCCTGGGCTAGAGTTTACCAATCCCTCTTCTCTCTTTACTATTGCTGATGTCCCGCTGCTTTCAGCATTAAGTCTAGACCCTGTAACAGAATCCCAGGAGCCATGCGCGGTTCTGGCCTCCAGCCTATGCTCTTTTCCTGGCATCTGACATTACACTCTCCTACATATGCCCTATGCTTTTCCCTTCTTTGTGCTTCCCAGGGCTGCTGTTTGGCCCTTTCCTTCCCCCACATACTTCCACTCTAATCCTCATTCACATGTCACCTTTTTGTGAGGTCTTCAAACCGGTTTCTACTCCACCTCTAGGTGTATTACATCTTTCTCCTAGTCCCAGGGTTACTGTGTCACATGCAACACACCCCATGCTGAGTTGTGTCTGCTTACATGGCCAAGCCAGAGTTCAAAGTCTATGCAGATAGGGATCAATGTGCCTTTTACTATCATGGTCATATAGCAGGAACACAGTCTTCATTTCTTTTCGTGGGTTAGGGTTTGAACCCAGGACCTTGCACATACTAGGGTAGCACTTTACCACTATAAATGAACGTTTTAAATGAGTAAGTGATGAAGGCACGCAGGAAAAAGAACTTCAGAAGCTGCTGGCTTTCAGATATTTTCTGGACATGAAGAGGGAGGGGAGCTCTGGTTGGTTTCAGATTGACATAAGAAAACTTCCCAATAGAGCTGATGAGAGGTGAGGCTTCAGGAGGTAGTGTTGCCTCCACAGAGCCAGGAACATCAGCTGGATTAAAGGAGGGCTTGTAGATCACAGATGGCTAATTAGTCTGCCGTCAGTGTCGTTTATTACACAGATAATTTTTTAGAGCCTTAGAAGGCCTCCAAAAGTACACGTATCAATTGTTTTTTGTTTTCCTCACCCTTCAGCCCAAGGTTTACTGATATTTGCGGAATTGATATCTGCAGTTAAGAGGACATTGGCTCGCCTGCTTGTGATCATTGTGAGCTTGGGTTACGGCATTGTGAAGTAAGTGTTGCTGCGCTGAGCAGCTCCTGACTCTCCAGTCTGGTCTTCAGCCCATGCACGCCATGACCTCTGTGGAACTGGGGACTTGTCAGTGTGATCACCCAAGTCCCCAAAGGAAAATGCTGCAGAAACATGGGTTTAAAAATGTACATGGACTAGCCATTTCATATTATTTCCAAATGAAGATCTGGAATTGAATCCCAGTAGCCAAGGTGGCCTGAGCCTCCCAAGTGCTGAGATTGTAGGCATGTGCACCATAACTTATCTCTTTAAGCAGTCTGGGTCTTATTATAAAGGTGTAACAAATCCAAGCCCAAAGGACAGAGCCATCATAGACAGGGACCACCGTTTATTTTCTCTTGGACATGCCATCTTCCCTGGCCCTGCAGACCACAAGGCCATGAGGTTCTGGACACCCTGTTCTAACATTAGAGCCACTGAGCGCTCCATAAAAGGTGTAGAAACTGGCCTGGCGGTGGTGGCGAATGACTTTAACCCCAGCACTGGGAAGGCAGAGGCAGTCAGATCTCTGAGTTTGAGACAGCCTGATCTACAAAGCTAGTTCCAGGACAGCTAGGGGTATACACAGTGAAACCCTGTCTCAAAAAAACAAAAACAAAAAAGGTGCAGAAACTGAAATTGAGGGCAGGAGAATTGGTCACACCACACCGAATCTTACTTTCTTAGGACCTTGTTTACCTCTGTCTTGACCTCCTTGTTTTAACAAGCTTGTAGAAGAGGATAGAAGGATTGAGTAAGGTATGCAAGAAACATGAGTGGGCCCAACTTGCAGGCGTTGCACTGGTAATAGTGTGGTAGTGGCAGGAGCTCCATGCTTCTAGCCATCCAGGTGTCAACATCATCCAGGTGTTACTGTCTATAAAGCAATCTGGGGATTGGAGTGTGTACCCAGAGATGACCCAAATACCCAAGTACTCAGTGCTTAGGAGGGCTGTAGCCCACTGGAACACCTCCCCTTTTGTGCGGATCTCTGCTAGAAGACTGTGAAGATAGTCATCATGCCGGTCACTCCCATCTGCAGGACTTACTAACATGCTGTGGTACCATTGACCTACCCAGACAACCAGGAGGGGTCAAGCACACCCAGAGTGACCCTCCCACCCAATACTCTAACCCTACCACTGCAGCACAGGAATGGGCAGCTTTGCATAGGAGAGAGGAAGGTCGTTTTGAAGTAGACAGCTGTTTGTAACTTCAGCTGTCCTCTTTGCACAGCCATGCGAATGATTGGCAGGTATTTTGAGTGCATGTCCAGGGATATTTTCAAGTTAACAGGATCACTGGGGAAGCAATCTTGATATCAGCTAATATGAAAATACTAGGAGAAATCTAGGAGCTCTGAAGTATCCATAGCAAAGGCAGAGGTAGAAAATTGGTATTGAGAGTGTGTCTTCAAGGATTTGCATTTTTTATGCCTTCTTGCTGGTTCTGTTTGTACTTGGGAGCACAGCTGTCGCCAAGGTGTCAGGCTCCTAGACCCTTCCTGAAGGGTAGACGAGAGTGAAGCTCAAACAAATAATATAGTTGTGTTGACTCTGAGATCCAGCAGGAGATGACATTGCTGTGTCTGGTGTCTCCTTCACAAAGGCAGTGGAGAGTATTTGGAAGCTACCATCGCAGCCCAGATGCAAACATAGAAACCCAGCTATGTCTTTGAATTACAGATCTTCCTTCTTAGCTGTCAGAATTCTGATCTACCGTTCCCTCTGGTGTAAGGAGGCTTCTGACCACCATAAGGACCAAGACTTTTTTTTTTCTATTTAAGCCCCAATTTCTCACACATCATTGGCTAATTTAACTCATAGATATCTTGGAGTTCTGGTCACTTTTAAATGTTTTTTTATTCAACTTCATTTTGAATGTGGCAGGTATAGACATTGTCACAAAGTAGGGGTTAGCTGAATTGCTTTCCTCTCCATGGTGCTGAGAGCTAGCCTATGACCTTGTTGGTTTTCTAGGAGGTGATCATTATCCATCATTTGTTCCGCCCAGTCCCTGCCATTCCAAAGGCAGGAAGGTGAGCAGGAACAGTGCTTCTCAGCAGCTTATGTTTTTATCTAAATGGGGCATACTAAGGATTTTTTCCATGAAGTATGCTTCCTGGAGGGTTCTGATATATATAACATTCCCGAGGTAATGAGGATGTTCCTCTCTCTAAATATGTTGGGCTGTTACTAGCTGGTGAAAGTTTTTTCCCTAATTTTTAACAATAATGGTAAAGCTGTCATGACCACTGACAAACAAATTTTTAGGTAGACAGGTTTTGTTTTTCTTGAGTAAGTATCGTGGAATAGAATTGTTAGGTCACAGCTAGGTCTGTTGATACCTGTAATCCCAGCACTCAGGACATGGAGTCTGAAAGATCTCTAGTTCAAGTCCACCCTGCGCCTTGTATTCCAAGCCCTTCCTTGCCCATAATCTGAAGGAGACCACCACCCCTATCCCCTTCTCCACAGCTGACAGTTATCTTCTTGCCTTAGGTTTTGTTTTAACATGACTTTCCTTGATATGTTTTTAAAGCCATTTTTCTTCCTAACTACTCTGAGAAGTGGGGTTTTAAAGTATTTAAAAATATATGGCAATCAGGCCTGGAATGGTGGTGCATGCCTTTAATCCCAGCACTTGAGAGGCAGAGGCAGTTGGATCTCTTGAGTTTGAGGCCAGCCTGGTCTACAAAGTGAGTTCCAGGACAGCCAAGGCTACACAGAGAAACCCTGTCTCAACAAAACAAAACAAAAAGTATGTACAATCAATTCTGATTTGTAGGTCCCATCTATATTAAAATTGTTACTTGTAAAAGAAAATACATTTCCCCTTGCTTATTTATAAGACTCAAAAATATTATTTTAAGTTTAAAGGTTAAAAACCAAATAATGTATCACCCCTACTCTGGGGTGAGAGACAGGAAATAGAAGGAGGGCACTGTGGTTCCTTGTGCTCATTCTGCTTTGTGCCTGGTCACAAGATGAGTAGGCTCCTCCAAGAGAGTGCTCTGTGTGGTTTGTAGTTAACGTTAGTAGAAGTTATAATCTGTCTTTCCCAGAAGCTGGTGTTTCCCTTCTTAGGTTCTCCAGCTGCCCCTCCATTCTAAGAAGTAGTGCTTGCTGATGTTTATCCTATTGCTTGAGCTTCACATGCCCTGGCACCTTTGTGGCTGTGCACAGGCTCACCAGCACCTGTCCAGCTTCAGGTCCTAGAGGGTAGACCTGGTGTTCTCTGGCCTGTGCCTGTGTGCTGTGGAGAGGGCACAGAGTCCCAAGCATTGCCCTGTGACTGGATAGTGCCCTCTGTGTACTGACACAGTTCTGTGTTCTGATGCTTTGTACTTAACCATGCTTTCTCTCCCCCGCCCCCTCTGCTTACTCCAGGCCTCGCTTAGGAACAGTCATGCACCGGGTGATTGGACTGGGACTGCTTTACTTGGTCTTTGCAGCCATTGAAGGCGTCATGAGAGTCATCGGGGTAAAAGCCACATTAACCCATTCACCCACTTTTTCTTGCTATGGCATGCTGTCATACTTTGTCTCTTCATTTTCCTTTGTTTTAAAGATAAACATATATGAGGAAGTCCCAATTTGAGCTTTTTTCAGGTGGAATAGCCTGCTTTTTAAATACTTGGTGAAGGAAAAACCCAGCCGAAAGCTTCCTAAAGTGGCAGATGGTGAGAGCACCACTAGTGTCACCCCTGGAAGCAGCTCCGTCCAGAAACTTCTGTCATTCTTCAGGGCGCCTATCTTTGCCCTTACATAGTTTAAACACAGACATATCTGTCTTAATCCTGGGTTTAGAAATGGATCAAATGGTTGGGAAGGGAAATGCTTTTGCTCCTGACGTGTGTAAGCACACTCCTCTCTCTTGGCTCTTAACTTTGCTCTGACTGGACTTGGTCTCTGAGGAGTCAGCAGGTCCCAGTGTTGGAAGACCCAGGAGAAGGTCACATCCAGGGAAGACTCTGGTCATGTGGGCAGCAGCACTTTGTCCCCTGAGGAAGTTGGTATTTTAATCTGTGAAAAGCCTTAGGAAAAAAAGCAAAATACCCCAACGACTCCATGAAAGGAGCGTGGTTCTTCCTAGGAAATCGTGGAGCGCAGAGTGGTTAAAGAGCTTACTGCAGTTTACCTGATCCAAAGAGTCTTCATTTCACCCAAAACATATTTGAATTCAGTGGGAAGATCAGATTAGTGTGCTCAGAGCAGTTAATCTGTGTGCTGTCATGTAGGTTTGGACGTCTTCAGCAGTATAAAACCTCCTTCCATTGTCTTGATGCGTCTGTATTCTGTGTTCTTTATCCTGAGCGTATTTGTTCCTTTGTATAGTCATGAAGAATCCTTCATCTATATTTAAATATATATGTATATATAACTCATAAGACTTTAATCTTTGCTAAAAAGACTAGGAAAAATAATATCCCACATATAAACAATACTATACATTTTAAAATTTACATCTCAGCAATTCAGAGAGTGGCTGCTTTAAATGTGACTATTGTAGGAAGTGCCTAATTTATAGTTTGTTCCTCCCTTCCCACCCAAACTCCACCTTTACTCTGCCTTTTCTGCATGAGTGTGTCCCTTTACCATCAGGAAGGTCAGGAACTGGTCTCTTTGATAGACCCAGCTGTAGGCTTGGTGTGAAGAGGAAGGTGATTGAAATGGCAGGTCTCAGTGAGACTGGGCCATGACAAGCATTTTATTTATTTGCCCATCCACTTATTTCTAATATAAAATAAATTGGTAAGAAATTACATATATTGTTCCCCAAACAGATGATCTCTATGTGCCAAATACAATTCCATCAAGACATAAAACCGCCCATGGCGTTGTAGGTAATGAAAGCAAACTGTTTTTCTTTATCAGGTGAAAGCTGCTGTACACTGCAATGACACTTGTGTAAATGTAGGCTTTCCCTACTTTTCTCTTTCAGGGTTCTAAACATGTATCTGTTGTTTTGAGTGACATTGTTTTAGCAGTTATTGACTCCATTTTTGTGTGGTTCATATCCTTTACCATGTCCTTCCAAAGTAGTTTGTACTATCATTAAAATCAGATTACTTCTAACTCATAATAATGGTGGAATAAAATATAATTTTGTATTATTGTTTTCTCATTATAGGCGTTTAGTTAAAGGCAAGAAAGTAATAACTCCCCTGATAGGAATGTCTTTATTTTTCTGTTAGTTCACTAAACATCTAAGTACTCAGTTAGAAGCATGAAGTTAAAGGAGACAGTGGTAGACTGTCCTAGCATAGCTTTTTTTATGTAAGTATGGTAAAAAGTAATGACAGATGGGGCCAAAGAGAAAGAGGAAATGACATGGATAGGTCCTGCGCAGCCTCTGCAGCGGCTTCATAGGGTGCTTGCTTTCCTGCAGAGAATGGACAGGAAACAGACACCTCTGGAGCTGGATGGCAGAGCTGCAGTGGAGGTGGTGGCAACCCGCCCTCAGCAGCACCTCGCTCCTAATGGCTTGTCCTCTGCCATTGTGTATTTAGAAAGGAGCCTCAGCTGTCCGTTTGAAATTGCCTCTTTTCTAAAATAGTTTGTGCATGGAGCTTTGCACAAGTCAAGGAATATGTCTTTGTATTAAGCAATTGAGCTTTAGACTTTTTATCCAGAAGAATTTTGTAGCCAGGTGTAATGGAACACACCTTTAATTCTAGTACTTGGGAGGCCAGTGGATCTCTGAGTTAGAGGCCAACCTGAGATGCAAAGAGAATTCAGAGACAGCCAGGGCTCATAAAGAGACTCTGTCTTGAAACAAACAAAGAAACAAACAAATGTGTTGTTTCTCTTGGGAATTTAAAGATATATACTCCAAAGATTTCTTTTTAACCTCCACAGAGTGATTTATTGGAAAACCACTCAAGTAGTTTTCCCTGGAGTGGAAAATTCCAGAGAAAAACAGCTCTGTATTTGTTGATCCCATGTCTGTAAATGTGGGCAGGGTATCTCCCTTGGACGGCATGGACTTTGTTACCCTACAGTACACAGTGAGCCACATTGGGGTGGGGAGGTAAGGAAAGCAAGACAGAGGCTTTATTTACTCAGTGGTCATAAAGAAATCTAGAAATTAAAGTTCTCTGGATGGTATGGAGTGGCGACTAGAAGTAAGTTAGTATAATACCCCTTTCCTTTGAACCTGAATTTGCAGTTTGCTACCAGCTGCTGTTTGGCCGTTTTTAATCACTGTAAAGTGAGAAGTGAGCTTCCTGAGTGGTTACAGATGACAAGCAGACACAAGCAGGGCTGGATACAAAATTGATGGTTTTGGATAATGACCTTGCTTTCAATGATTTCGATGAAGCTAACACAAAAGCAGTTAACCCTGTAAGAATCTAGCTGACAGGTTCAGAGTTGCAGCCTTCCTTATGTCTCCCAATGCCCCCTTTTCCTGCTTGCTTATTTTTTTTGCTGTTTTGCTGCAGGCGAATGATTCTGATCTTGTTCTTCTGGCCAGCCTGCCTCTCTCTCTCCTTGACTCAGGCTTGTGCTGGTGGATATCCTTTTCCTACTGCAGCCGCATGCTCAGCTGGCTCTCTCCACCTCGTGGAGCCTGTGCACTTTCGTCACTGCTTTCCATTCTGCAGGGGGCGGTGGTGGGGTGAGTTCCGGCGGCTCGGTAAGTAGAGGTTTAGGCAGCTTCAAGTTTGCTTTTGATAGTTTAAACCTCTTGGCTTTAAAAGAACACTTTTGGATGAGTTAATAAGAACAGATTTGCTTGTTTCATTGGATATGTTGAAGGGGTGCAATGTGTTTGCATTTTTGTAGGATCTCACAGTAGGTCCTAAGTAGTTGGCTTGTGTTACTTTAGAAGCTGATTTGCCAGGCCTGGTGATGTGTACCTTAATCCCAGCATCCAGCACTTGGAGGCAGAAGCAGGAGAATCTCTGAGGTCCAGACCAGCTAGGGCTGTATAGTGAGACCCCGACTCAAAGAATTTTTTAAAAATTAACTAAAACAACAAATAAAAAGAAAAGAAAGGAAGGAAGAAAAGGAACATCTTCCTTGTAAAGCACTGGACATTGAGAAAGATTGAAAAATCACTTTTTATAAAGTAGTTTTAGTATGAACAGAAATTTTTAAAGCATTTAATCTTTTAAGTAGGCATAAATCCAAAGCTTGCCTGCATGCCATTACTGTTGGTGTTTGGTTCATAATAAAGGCTGTTGATCTGCTCCCAAGGAGGAACCCACTGAATAAGCAGAGACTTGCAGGCCTCTGCTGAACTGAGGGGTCAGCAAGGAAACCTCTCTTACCTCATTCTGGGCAGAATTAGCCTTTCCTTGAGCCTTGTGCTCCTGGAAAGTGGCCAGTGCTAAAACTTCCCCTCCACCATTTTGTGTTCTGGGAAAAGGCAGCTCCCTTCCCTCAGGACTTTGCTTAGAGTCCAGGTACTCCTGCTCTATTAGACTAAGCCATACCCATGCCCTCCAATCTCATTTTTGCCTCATGAATGATCAGCTGAGCCTTCTGACCCATTGTCTAATAAAGAAAAATATTAACTTTCCCCTCCATCATCCTGAAACCTGTCAGCCTGAGCCAATACACATCCTCTTTAAAGGTCCCCATGAGAACCCACAGACCTCAAGAAAGACCCGTATGTTGTCACTGTGTCCAGCCAACTCCCCATGTGTGCTTTGTTCTATCTACAGGCCTCTCCTCCCTGGCCTTTAAGACTCTTGAAGAGCTTATGTTCCTAGTGTGCCCCTACCCTTTCATAGGATACCTACTTAAAGTCAGGCTTGTTTGCTTTGTTAGGTTTTTACTTTATAAAAAGGAACTACTCAATTATGCCTATTTGGAGAATAATGTAAGAGCTAACTAGAAAAAGAAAATAAGAAAGCAACCGAAAAGCATACACCAGATGGTGTCGCAGGTAATAGAAGGCATATCTAAGCTGAGACCTCTGCTTTGACTGTGTGCACTGCACTGTCCAGTGTCACGGGAACACATCACAGCTCTTGTTCTTTCTTCCTTGAAGTCTGTTCATTTGTTTCAGGCAATGGAAAATTTTATATAGAAAACTAATTAACTAATTTTAGAATGGTCATACAGTATAGATTAAGATACAGTTTCTGTGGTTTGACTTCAAAATTTAAGAACTGTATTAATTACTGCTGTGTTTGGGAATATAGTATAAGATTCTTACTGTGTTTTCTTTTAACAGTACTTTGCCATTTTCCCTGTTTTTCCTTAACTAGTTTTTACATTTTTATAAGTTTGGCACAGACTATGAAGACTCTAAGGCTCAGAAAGAACACAGTGAAATTCTCATTGTATAGGCATTTTACAAATACGCTCATCTTTGCTGTGCTGGGTAAGCCTTCCATGCCTCTTTCTAAGACAGCCCATGTCAGGATTGCATGCTCTTTCAAAGGCGACTCTCTCTGTCTTTCAGCTTCTATAGTGTTTATGGTGTGGACAACGAAGAACTTCAGGATGGCAAAATGCCAATCAGTAAGTAAAATCTTAATTATTTTAAGATTTAATTAAATTATTTGTTAGATAATTAAGGGATTAAAACATTTAATTATTTAAGCAGTTACTGTTTTCATTATACTGTTTTATTTTTCAGAATTTCAATGAGTTTAGTTTGTAAAATAATTTTATTGGCTATTTTTCTTTTATTTTGACCTATTTCCTATGGAATTATCAACACTTTTTTCTAAATAACTCTGAAGCTGGATCTCAGTTGGTAGAGTGCTTACCTCAGATGCACAAACCCTGGGTTTAATCCCAGTACCACATAAACTGGCAGTAGTTGTACAAGCCTTTAATCTCAGCACTCAGGAGGTGGAGAAGGCAGGAGGATCTGAAGTTCAAGGCCAGCCTGGGCTACATTTGACCCTGTCTGACAACGACAAAACTGAATATCTCAGCAAGTTCCTCTGGAATTTTTTATTCCTTTTCCTGAACAGCTCTTTATATATTTTGAAGAAGAATGTTGTGCCCTTTCCCCGTTTTCCTTTCTTTTTGCTAGAGTGGTACCTAGGGCTTTGCATGTGCTCTGCCTCATGACTAGACACCTAAGTCTGCTGTGCTGCTTTGATGTCACACTCAGCACTGGCTTTGGGGAGATGCCTGTGCTTAGACTAGCTGGGAGAGCACACAGTTATCTCTCAGAACCAGGTTCTTGAGGTCACGTCACACCCACAAAGTGCCGAGAAGCGTCAAGCTGCTGTACCTGCTGGCTTTCCCCCTCCATTGTAATATTTTCTACTTAAAATTCTGTCTGTGTTTAGATTTTTTCCCCTAAATTTTCCTGTTGGTCCTAATATTTTATGAGGGGACATCTGTATGCTTTTTAGAAACAATGTTTACAACATAGGTTTCCTTAGAAGAAACTTTTTCTTGTTTATTGACAAGGAAGGTTTGCTGGCTGGAGAGATCTCAGTACTCCTGCTGCACTGTCTGAATGGGATGTGGGCACGTTTATCTGAAAGTTGATGTTTTATGTTTGCATCATCCTTGTTCTAGGATTGGATGGAGCTCTGGGTTGATGATGCATTTTGGAGCTTCCTCTTTTCACTCATCCTTATTGTGATAATGTTCCTATGGAGGCCATCAGCCAATAATCAGAGGTAACTAACATGTGGAAATTTGTCTTGGAACCATTTGTTGGCTGCCTTCTGTGGTGTTGAAAACTGTAGGAGGCACATCTCACAGAAGGCATTAGAAAATCCAGAATTGTTAAACATGAGGCTCTTTTGTCTTTAAGGGAAGAAAATGACTGAAGGCAGGAGTAGATCTTTTTGCTGTTATGGAGCCAGCCTTCACCTGAGTTCCCCCCAAATTCTGAACATTGCTTAGGCCCTTATGAAGAGGTCTCGGGTATTTTGATCCCTCCCGCAATAGAGCTATCCTCATGCTTAGTACGCTGGACTCTGTTTATTGTAAAGGCCATAGGTGCTTTGCTACTTTGCAAGGGAGTTTTGATATAGCTTTAGATTTTTTTCTAAAGCTCTTGTGATAATTGTCACATGGAGATTTTTTCCCCCAAAGTTTTACTGTGCTTAAATGTGTAAGAAAAATAAACGTTGAGGTCAGACTGGGGAGGTTTTGACCCAGCGCCTGCTAAAGTGGTGCTGACCCGAGTGTCATTCTTCACCTCACGTGGATCATTTCCCTGCTGGCTGTGATGCTTGTAGGGACCCTGACAGAAAACACGAACAGAGACTGTTGGGAAGTGCTTGGTTTTTAAGCAGTTGTATAGTCAAGTGAGAAGACAGGCATAACAAATAGAAGATAGTGAGAGAAGGGCATTAACCGTCGGGAGGTGGATGAGGACTCTGAAAGTTCCAGTATAGCTTTAAGATGGAATTAGCATGTGAAAGAATGCTCATTTAGGGAGAACTGTGGAACAGCCAAGGTGCACAGAAGTCAGCAAGGTGTGCAGGTTCGTTAGCTCAGTGGGCGCAGCGTTCTTAGCCCACGTGCTTAGAAGGGCTTTGCGCTTAGTATTTTTCTTCAGAGATTAGAACATTTGCATAGACTCTACTGGCTAAGCATCCTGATCCGAAACCCAGACTGCTCAGGGTCAGAAGCTTCTAGAGCACTGATGTCGTGCTCAGGCAGGTAAACCACCTGGGATTCTGTATGTTCAGCCTGTTTTTTAGTTGAGGAAAGCTGGACAGGGAGAGCGGAACCTAGTGGCACAGGGCTCAGTGTCAGCTCAGAAAGCTGCGCTCTGGAGTGTAGTGGTCAGCCCGCCTTCTCTTGTACCTTCTTCCCCAAGGAGAGAGCTGTTGAGTCTCTTATGGCACTCGCTAGGGAGAATGAAATGGCGGAACTAGGAAGTATGTTCTCCCTTCAGTAAATAGTCATGTTGGCCAGGGACGTGGCTCGGCAGGCTTTTGCTCTCAAGGCTGCGGGCCTGAATTCATTGCTGGGACCCACATGTTCCTTGTAGAGAACCACCTCCTGAAAGTTGTCCTCTGATCTCTTAATTGTGTGAACATGTGCATGTACACACAGGTAAATACATAAAATAAATGTTAAGTGACGGGGCATGTTGGGGCACACCTTTAACCACAGCAGTCAGGAGGCAGGGGCAAGTAGATCTGTATAAGCTAAAGACCAGCCTGGGTACATAGCAAGACCCTGCCTTAAAAGAATTTTCTAAAATGTATTGTTATTGGTGTTTTATCTGTATATCTATGTGACAGTGGTGGATCCTGGAGTTACAGACAGTTGTGAGCTGCCATGTGGGTGCTGGGACTTGAACACGAGTCCTCTGAAAGAGAAGTCAGTTCTCTTAATCGTAGAACCATCTCTCCAGCCCCTTAAAAAAATTTTTTTTTGAAAATAAATTATAAAAGTAAAAATATTTTTGTATATATGTACTGTTCTATTTTGTAATGTGAGTAGTAATATGTGTGTGTGTGTGTGTGTATTCCAAAAATAGACATTTTATTAGATTTTTTTTTTTTTTTTCTGTTACAAGCAATGTTTTCTGAATGCTTTTGATGATATTTTTCTAGTGTGCTATGAGCAAAAGGGCCTTTGCTTTGATAGATATGGCCCAAAAGACATTAGGAAAGATGGTCTTCTTCAACGGTGCATCACATGTGACATATTTAATATATAATGTATTTAATAATTAAAATCCACATGTCTGTGTAAATGTTTGTTTAAATATAGGTTCATTTGGTGATGATGAAAATAGAAGAGCAGCCCTCTAGACATAATGCTTTTTTGTCTAAACATTTTCTGCTTGAGAGCTAGAGAGCTAGGTTGGTGGTTAAGAACACTGGCTGCTCATGCAGACGGCCCAGGTTAATTCTCAGCACCCATGTAGCTCACAACCTCCTGTAACTCCAGCTCCAGGGCATCTGATGCCCTTTTCTGGCCTCTGCAGACACCAGGCATGCCAGGTATGGAATATATTCAGGTAACACACTCATACACATAAATAAGTAAATAAATTTCCTCTTTGCTATCCTGGATAATCTGTAGCAATAAATTTTGTCATCAACAGTATTTTTGAGAATGTATTTGATCTTGTCACCTTAATGTCACTGATCAGGTTAATGTCTTCTTTTCATTAGGGAAAATGCTAAAATGTGGTGGGCAGGAGGTTAGTTATCTTAATGCATAAGAATCGTGGACAATGTAGATTTTTATATGCAATGGCCAACAGTGACCAGGTTTAAAGTCTCCTTTGTTTTTGTCTAGGTATGCCTTCATGCCCTTGATAGATGATTCTGACGACGAAGTCGAGGAGTTCATGGTAACATCTGAAAATTTAAGTATGTGATGTGTTCTGATTTGTATATATATTTTAACAGAAAGAAATCTTTATTTTAGATGCAAAGTCACATATATTGCTTAAAATTTTCCAATGAGGACTGGGGAGATGTCTCAGCCTGTAAAGTGTTTGCCTTGCAAGCATGAGGATGTGAGTTCCGTCCCCAGAACCAGTGTTAAAAGGAAAAAAAAGAAAGCTGGGCATGGCAGAATGCATGCATGTATAGTTCCAGAGCTGGGAAGGCAGATTACTGGAGCCCACTCGCCAGCCAGCCTGGCCTACTTGGCTGATTCCAGGCTAGTGTGGGTGGATGCATCCAGGAATGGACACCAGAGGTGGCGTCCACCACACATACACACATGCACACAGATGTGACTGTACACCCACACACACTGTGGAGGTGGCTCAAGAGTGTTTGCTCTGCACATTTTAGACCTTGAGTTCTGATCCCAGCAGCTACATAAGAGCCAGGTAACAGCAGTGCTGGTGCGGGAGGGGAGGCAGGGAGAGGCAGTGTAAACAGCCAGATCGCCAGGGCTTGCTAGCCAGCCAGTCTAGGCTAAGCTAGAGACACCCTGAAAAAGGGAAACATGGTAGAGAATGATAAAAGATATCATCAAAAGATTACCCACATGGCAAACGGTGAACAGAAGGCTTGAACAGTGTGCAGATTGAAAATGCTCAATGAGTCAATGGCACACGCCTGTAATCCCAGCACGTGGGAAGGCAGAGTCTGGCAGATCTCTGTGAGTTCAAGGCTAGCCTGGTCTACAACGCAATTGCAGGACAGCCAAGGCTACACGGAGAAACCCTGTCCCAAACAAAACAGAACAAAAAAAAAAAAGAAAAAGAAAAACACACACACAAAAAAAAAAAAAAGAAAGAAAGAAAAGAAAATGCTCAGTGTTCTCAGTAATCAGGGAAGATGCAAGACAGCAGTGAGCCGCTCCACCCCGACATGGCTACAGCCGGCATGGCGAGTAGCCAGCTGGAGAGGGTGCCTTGCTAGTTACAGGGCAGGGACAGTATAAAATCTGCTTGAGAGGATTTTGACCTATGTGTACATACCCACATAGGCACATATGCACAATTTTTTTAAAAAAAGTCTAAAAAATAAAAAGCTTTCATCAAATATGAAGAAAATAATTTTTTTTTGAAGAAAATAATTTTTGTTTTGTGTTGAATACCATAAGCATGCCCTGCTGTTTATGTCAAGGAAGTAAAAACTTCCAAGATGTATGTGTGTGTTTGTGTATATGTCCGTGTATGCATATGTGTGTGACTGTGTGAGTGCATGCTTGTGTGTGAGTGCATGTTTCTGGTGTGTATGTGTCTGTGTGCTAGAGTGCTAGCGATGAAACCTAGGGCTTCAAACATTCTGGACAAATGTTCTACCACTGAGATATATTCCAAGCCCCCACATTATTTTTGAAATACTGTGACTCTTACACATTTTAAAATCCTTCAACGTTAAAATAAATTGAGCGGGGGTCCATGTGTATGTGCGAGCTGCTCCACAGGTGCATTCCAGCAAGTTGAAAGCCTTCTTGTTGTGCTCCGCAGTTACTAGAACCTGAGCCAGGATGGTACTCCTCAGTGAGGTAGGCCGCGGACAGGAGGGCAGACACCACAGGTTAGAGATACAAAAGCTCAGCCGTTGATCTCAGTGCAGAGAGTCAGAGAGGCTGAGCCTAGGAGAAACAGGAACAATTTTAGACAACAGTTGCTGAAAAGGGACAGAATCTGAGTTAGACAAGAGGACAAGAATTAGTGGGTAGTACAATAAAAACTTTTTTCTTATTAGAGTCTTAAGTGTGAAGTTAGAATTTTTTAATCTTTTCTCATTGTAGCTGAAGGAATAAAACTAAGAGCCTCAAAAACGGTTTCAAATGGAACAGCTAAACCTACTTCTGATAACTTCGTGAGTATCTGTATTTAGTGGAGCCACTGTCTGTTACTTTAGAATTCGTATCCGTGCCGTAGTCGCTGGTCATCAAAAGAGGTTTTGTTACAGTTTGTTGTTACTAAATTAGCTATTTCCATGCACCAGTGCAAGTTCAAGGCCCATAGCAGCATAGAGTGCCAGCATGTGTAAGGCTTCAGTCTGCTTAACCAACATTACCATCACGTCTGTGCACAGCAACACCTGTAAGGTATTTTAAGACTCGACTCTGAGGCAGGTGTGGAAGTACACGCCTCTTATCCCAGCACTCAAGAGGCACAGTAGGCAGAATTTTTATTCATTCTTTCAAAGTAAGTGTTGTTGACTTTTGACCAGAAATTAGAGGTCTTATTTTTTACTTAAGATTTCTAGCTAGGAACTACTCCCAGACATAGGGCTTCATTGCCGTGTCTCAGTCAGCAGCTGCTTAGTACTGAATCCAGACCAACCCAGGCTGCAGGCACATGGGGAAGGAAAACTGCATTTATTTCTCTTTCCTAAGTGTAGTAACTGGAAGTAAATTAGGGAAAACACCTAACTACCTAAGCTGATTGGCCTTTTCTTTTTTTGTTTTTCAGCTTTTTTGGTTTGGTTTGTTTGTTTTTGGGTTTTGGGGTTTTTTTGGTTTGGTTTTTCAAGACCAAGTTTCTCTGTATGACAGCCCTGGCTGTCCTGGAACTCTCTGTGCAAATCAGGCTCAAAGAGACCTGCCTGCCTTTGCCTCTGGAGTGCTGGAATTAAAAGTATGCACTGCCACCACCTGGCCTGATTGGCCTTTCTTGCCTCCTGTGGTAATATTAACACAGGTACCTCACTGCAGTGCTTTACTGAGGTAGAACATTGTCCATTATAGTTTTCTGTTGGAAAAAAAAATGAACTCAAAATTTTTTACAAATTAGGCATAATGAGGGATGGAAGCAAAAAAAAAAAAAATCAAAATAAACCTTTGCTCTTTTCTGTCTTACAAATCAATTCTGCATTTTTATTTTGGGACAAAAAGAAAAAGAACATTTGTGTTCTTAGCTAAAACCAAAGAACAGAAAAATCAGCCATTTTCTGTTTGTTTCTGAAACACTGGCGCTTAGTGTGGCACTCCGCCAGCTTCCAGAGCACAGGAACAACTAGCAGACTCCGTGCGTCTGAGTTAAGTGTGTAAGTTTACCAACATGCTACCAAAAAGGATGCTTTTAGGAGATACTTAACAAATACTGAATATAAATATTTATTTCTACAGGATGAAGATTTGAAGTGGGTGGAAGAAAATATTCCCTCTTCATTCACAGACGTGTAAATATCCTCTGTTCAAGTCTAAACCTGAGACTGTAGTTTAAAGGGACTTCATTCTCTGCTTCTCACTGTAGATGGTTGGGAGTCACCATGTGGTTGCTGGGAGTTGAACTCAGGACCTTTGGAAGAGCAGACAGTGCTCTTAACCTCTGGGCCATCTCTCCAGCCCCCCATTTGCTGTTTCTCAAACTGTGTGTGTGTTTGTGTATACATGTATGTGAGAGAATGTGTGTGTGTGCAACTGTGTGTGCATGTGTGTGTGCATGTGTATGTGTGTAGGACCCCATCATTACTTCTCACAGAGCTGAACGCAGCCCTGGCCCTTCCCTGCCTTTCCATCTTAGTGGCCTGTGACTAACTCCAGCTCTTCCCACACTTTTCAGAATCATTTTATATTGTTTTAATTTTTATTACAGAAAAGTTCAGACATATGTAAACCACTTATTACATCCATGTGTATAGTGTGCACACATGGTCACAGAGGTCAGAGGACAACTTGCAGGAGTTGGTTCCCTCCTTCCTGTGGGACCCAGGAATCTGATTCAAGTCACCCACTGAGCTAACCCACCAGCCTGCTTTCAAGGCCTCAGGAGTCTGCTCTTTCCTTTCCTTCTTTCCTTCTTTCCTTCTTTCTTTCTTTCTTTCTTTCTTTCTTTCTTTCTTTCTTTCTTTCTTTCTTTCTTTCCTTCTTTCCTTCTTTCCTTCTTTCCTTCTTTCCTTCTTTCTTCCTTCCTCCCCTTTCTTTCTTTCCTTCTTTCTTTCTTCTTTCTTTCTTTCTTTCTTTCTTTCTTTCTTTCTTCCTTCCTTTCTTCCTTCCTTCCTTTCTTTCTTTCCTTCCTTCTTCCTTCCTTCCCTCCTTCCTTCCTTCCTTCCTTCCTTCCTTCCTTCCTTCCTTCCTTCCTTCCTTCCTTCCTTCCTTCTTTCTTTCTCTTTCTTTCTCTCTCTCTCTCTTTCTTTTCTTTCAGCTATTTTTTTTGTTTTTGTTTTTTTAAAACAGTGTTTCTCTGTATAGCCTGATTATCCTGGTACTCACTTTGTTTACCAGGCTAGCTTTGAATTCAAAGTCTCTGCCTCCTGAAATCCGGGAGTAAAGGCATGTGCCACTACTACCTGGTCTTTTTTTTTTTTTTTCCTGGAGTCTGCTTTTTTCATTTCCATTTTTTTTTTTTTCTTTGTTTTTTTTTTGTGTGTTTTTTTTTTTTTTTTTTTTTTCCCCCCCCCCCCCCCCCCAGCTTCAAGGTTCTTTCTATTTCATCCCTAAATATTGGGGATTTTAGGTTAAGGCACTTAACCAAGCCTGCCCACCTGAGTTCAATCTCAAAAATTACAGCGGGTAGAAGTCGAGAACCAGCTCCTGAGTGGCCCTGTGACTTCCACACCTATGGTCCAGACACACACACCTGTGCACACATACAATAAGTAAACACATCTCTATTTTTTGTGTTCTCCATGAAAAAGAAATACTACCTTTGATAATATAATGCTCATCTCTCCTCATTTCCATAAAAGCACAAAATGGGAGTTTTCTAGTTTAGTGGCAGATCATCACTCAGATACTCTGCCAATTGTGAAAAGTAAAACAAGAGCAAAGGGCTGAAAATAGAGAGGGGGGTGTGGCTTTGTTTGGAGTACTCACGTGAGTTTTCAACCAACTGCCCCATATGTAGTGGGAGTGTGCTTGTACTAGCTTGTTTCTATTTAAATTCATATTTTAAAAATATTTCTGTTAACTTTAGAGTGAACAGTTTTAAAGAAATACACATTCTGGAAAACACATTCTAGGTAGATGTCAATGTTGTTTTTAAGTAAGTCCTTCTCTGTAATCAAGAGGTAGAGTACCAGGACCTAAATCCCGGTCCCTCCCAGATGCCCACATGACTCTGTCTGTAGAGTCTGATGCTTCCAGAGAACTCACAGTCCTGAGCCTGGGTGCTCCCTTCTTGGCATTATCCCACTTGGGTTTTCGTGAACTTTTGTTTTGAGTGACATTGTTTTAGTGACACTGTCTTTGTTGTCTCTTGTTTCAGAGCCCTCCCTGTGTTAGTGGACTCAGATGAGGTAAACATACTTTTGCTTGTTTCCCTACAGCTGTTTTCATTTTCACAGTGTATTTCAGAAGTTAATTCTGAAAATAACTTTGAAGCAGTTACCAACTGAGCAGGTGGAAGGACACAAAGCTGGCTTGCAGTATGAAGGGCTGTGGGCTAAGTCACTGAGGCCAAGAAGCAGGATAAAAGCTGCTTGGTATAAATGAAGGGAAGAGGCATTTCGTGAGATTTTTGTTTGAAAGTCTATGATTTTTAAGGCCTTATGTGTCTTCTGTTTAGCTTCTGACAATATGTAGATAATTTGTTGGAATAGTTTCTTTTCAACCTTACTTACTAAGCCTGAAATTTAAATAAAGGTTTTGTGTGGAAAAGTTAACTATGGGTCATCCAGACATTGCAGGGTAGCCCAGGGCAGGGCACATCTGCAGTATATGGATTAAAGGATAAAAGACAAGGCATTGGCCCAGACGGAGGAGGGGCTGCTGGGAGCAGTTGGTCCGCAGTGTTGGCTGTAGAGCTGAGAAGAGCTGGAAGGGAGAGGTTCCGAAGTCATGTCATGTTCCTCTGTAGCAGGGTGGAGGTTCCGCCACCCTCGGGGAAGTGCTGGATGGCTATCAGTGGTGCAGTTTAATTCATCTGACACGATAAATAGCCATGGAGTCAGAAACCAGCTGCTCAAGTGAGGGCCTGCTAGCCACAGGGCTACTTCTCACAGAGAACCTAACCATTGGCTAGGTAGAAGGAGGCCGACCTTTCCGACCTCTGCGCTGATTGGCCTGCTATATTAGAGAAGGGGTCTTGTCTTATATGATGCTTCCCTCAGAGTAGGTCTATTTAAAAGGTTAAGTGGTGACTTGTAAGTTAGAATATTTTGGTAGCTAGCACCAGCATTTGACACCCATCTTTTTTTTTTTTCCCCAGGAAATTATGACCAGATCTGAAATAGCTGAAAAAATGTTCTCTTCAGAAAAGATAATGTGATTGGGACCCGAAGTGGGTCCAGTGTGAGTGGGAAGTTCATTCAGGTGATGGGGAAAGCCTGTCTCATTGACAGCTTCGCTATGATACATGTTTTACTGTGCTGGAGATCTGTGTGTGCAAATGAAGATTCAGGTGTGGGAGGGTCTGATGCCCTCATAAAGCCATCTTTAAAACTGTCTCCTAAAGTCGGCTTAGTTGCCACTCAGTTGCCTGAATTTGGAAATAATCTGAGGCGTCTTAATGGTGTGTATACGGGCGCCTGCCCTAGCTGGCAGCCACAGGCGTGTGGACTTGTGGTCTCAGTTTTCTCCAGGGAAAGAGAATCTGCAGCTGGCTGTGGCGGCACATTCCTGGCAATTGAATCTCCGTGAGTTCAAGGCCAGCCTGGTCTACATAGTTCCAGGACAGCCAGAGAAAACCAAAAAAAAAAAGAAAGAAGGAAAAGAAAAGGAATCTTGACCACTCCTTCCCTCTCGCCCTCCAGACAACAGGCTCTCCGGAATGCCAGTGCAGCAGTGGCCATCTTCTGTAGTGATGGTTTATTTCATTTTTATACTGAAGTGACAGTATCGGAACATGAGCATGCTCATATGTTTAATCTCGCCCCCTTTGTTGGTGCACACACAGCTCCTGATTGTAAACACCACCATGCATTGCACGTCATGGAGTCTGAGCTCGGGAAACGTGTACGCAAAGAGAGATGGGTGCACCCAAAGACTCGCAGGCCACAGGTACATGTGTTGCTGCTAATTCTGCTGTGACCCTGGCCCCGTGACTCTCCTACAGCACTTTATCCCAGCCCCTGAGCGCAGCGTTTCCTGTGAGCCTGGGGGTTACACAGACATCTAACTATATACCATGCATCAGTATGTAATTAACCAGCCCTCAACCATATTTTACACCTTGTTTTGTTAAATTATGTTCATAATGTATGATTGAAAGTTTCTATTCTAATGTTTTTTAAATATAGAATGTTCTAGACTTGAAAGGCACTTGAATGTAGTGTGATGAAAATGTGAATGCTTTGCTACTTTCATGACCAAAGATACCAGGCTAGTGGACATTTAGTGTGGTAATGAAAAGGAGGGTAGGGTCTTAGCTGGGTGTGGTGGCACATGCCTGTATTCCAAGCACTCAGGGAGGCAGAGGCAGGTGGATCTCTATGAATCTGAGGCTAGCCTGGTCTACAGGGCAAGTCCAGGACAGCCAAGGCTACACAGAGAAACCCTGTCTTGAAAAACCAAAAAAAATGGAGGGGGGGTCTTATATGGCTTCTCGATGGAGGACTTCTGGCCTTGTGAATTAGAAGAACTTGGGGTAATTGAAAAAACATGAAAATATGACGAGGAGGCGCATTCAACCATAACTAGATGATTTCACCACAAAACAAACCTTTTTCTTTCAAATGCCTACTTTCTGAGTTTATTTCCTGCATAGTTGTTTCAAAGGGGTTGGTAGAGATCTATTTCTGAAGTTGTGCCTCTTGAAACTGTGTTCTGTGGAGTGAACATTGGGAAGGTGCTCAGGGTTGCAGAGCTGGTGGAGAGAGGTGCTGCTTCGGCACTTCCCAGGGTGGCTAGTTGACGGTGGGTTCCTTCTTTCCGTGTCAGCACAGGGGTGGGTCCCATCCACCGCTTCCCTGTGTTTGTCCACCTTCTAACCCTCATTCTTAACCAGGAGCTGCCCTTGCTGGGGAGGGGGTGTGCTTCAGGGTCTCGCTGTGTAGCCCAGGTTGCAGGTGTGCACCACCATGGCCCACTCGACATTAGTATTTCATGCCCTCCCTCAGCCCACACGCCTGCAGTGGACTCTTTCTGCTCACAGCCAGCAGGAGCTACACAGTGAGCAGGGTGGGAGTTGATGGCCGGGGAAATGGGCTTCTGACGCCACCTCAGCAGTGTTTCCAAAAACAGGAAAGACAGATGATGCTGCCTCTGGCTCAGCTCCAGGCTGAAACGAACACTTCCCTTTCTTTCCATCCAGAGAAAGTGGAGTTTCACCTTAACCTCCTTAGAAGTGGTTTTGCAAGGGGGGGGGGGGGGGTGTCTGTTGTATGTAATGATAATGGTGCCAGGTCCTAATGTCGAGTGCCCTGAGTTGAGTATTTCTCGCGGTCCTTCTTAGCCCCAGCATGTGTCCTACACTGTCACTGCACATCACACGGACTGGGAGGTCCACCCAGGACCACCATGCAGTCCCATCACCTCCCTCCCCACCTGCCTCCAGCCTCCAGACAACACGGGGAGAGCCCATGTGCTCGGCTCAGTTTCTGTTGAGGACCCTGTGGGATGGGCCTGCCTATTGAGAGGTCTGAGGAGAAGGCTCCAGCTTTGTGTTCAAGACTTCCTGTTGTACACTCCACATTAGATTCCAATGATGCATGAAGTTTGCTTGAGACATTTTTCATAATTTGAATTAGGTTAATATCTACCTTTCAGGGTAGTTACTATATTTCAATAAGAAATAGATGGGAATTATCTGACTAGGAGATGGTAGGTGCTTTTCCTGAGTTTTTTGTTTTGTTTCTTGGGTGTGGTTGTGTTTTTTCTGTCCAGTGGAGGGTGTGTAGACTATTATAATGTCAAGATTAAGCTTAAAGTGTACCTGCAGAGTTGATTTGTAGACCCTCTTTTTGAAGGCTTGGGGCCACCACCCTGGCTGCACACGACTGAAGCGGAGAGAGATCATGCTAGGTTTTGTCTCACTTGATACTTGTGTCTTCGCATGATTGACAGCATGTGGTAAGCAATACAAAACACCAAGCCTTACATCTGTCAGAAAGAAGTTGAATATATAAAATCTGAGCCTATAGGTGGCAAAACTAGATTTTTTTTTTTAAAGGAAGTGTATGTTATAGGACAGGAACTCTACTGTATTAAAGAAGCCTCTTTAGATCTAGGAAAAATATTCATTTCTTTGGGAAGAAAATTTGGAGGTTAAAAATATATTCTTTATTTAAAACGGTTAAATTATAGTTTGGGAGAAATTTCTTTGAATATAGAACACAGCAACTTAAAGGACTTTTGTTTGAAAATTGTATTTTGTGCCTTAATATTTTTTTTTTTTTAATAAATTGCTTCTGACATTTGGAGATTGTTTTCTGGGATTATCTGTTAGTGCTACCTCATGAAAATCTGTAGGAAATTCAAACTCAGGAGATGGCAGGACATGGAATTCTTTAAAAGGGAGATACAACTAAAAGTCGGAGAATGTTCAGTCTCCACTGTGATAGAGCAGAACAAAAAGGGAAAGTATTTAGACACCTGTGTGTATTTATGAGTACTCATGCATGTGTGTGCACTTGTCAGATCGGTCAGCTCTCGGAGATAAAATGAAAGTATCATTTATGGTGACACCATTGACTTGGTCTTTGTGAAAAGTCCAGCAATGTTTAAAACCGTTGAAAATGCCAATTCTCTTGATGTGTTCAAAGATCTCTCAAATACAGAGCAAGGTTTCTGCACACTGAAACTAGACACAATCTGGTGTCAGCACCAGGCAAGAATAGTGAGTGAACTGTGCCTTGTCCGTGGAAGGTCGCTGCTTTTGCATTCAAGTGAAGAGTTTGTGGTAACAGGAAGGTCCACATGAAGCATGAACAAGGGCACACGCACAGACTTCTGCCTGTGGGGAGCAGAGCGCAGGACTGAGCAGCATTCAGTGGCCCCGTAGCTTGTGCTGCCATTGTGTTCAGCTACCATGTTACCTCACACCAGGCTTCCAGCCCTTCAGAAAGTTGCAGTCAAAAGTTACCATGGGCTGGAAAGATGGCTCAGCACTTGCAGAGGATCTGGGTTTTTCCTAGCACCTATGTGGCAGCTCACAGCTGTCTGTAACTAATCCTGAGGGATCAGATGCCTTCCTTTGGCCTTAGAACACTATACACCATGTGCATACAATGCACATACAAGCAAGCAAAACACTCCTACACATAAAATACATAAATCTAAAAAAATCACATTTTAAAAAGGTATCTGAGCCAAGCATAGTGGCACATGCCTCTTTAATCTCGGCACTTGGGAGGCAGAGGCAGATGCATCACTGAGGTCAAGGCCGGCCTGGTCAACAGAGGGAGTTCCAGGACAACCAGGGCTACACAAAGAAACCCTGTCTCAAAAAAAATATATGTGTGTGTGTGTGTGTGTGTGTGTGTGTGTGTGTGTGTGTGTGTGTAAAAACCAGTCACTGGCTCACCTCTGTGGTCACAGCACTCTGAGAGGCAGGGCTGGTGAATATGAGTTTGAAGCCAGCCTAGTCTACAAAGCAAGTCCAAGACTACACAGAGAAACCTTGTCTGGAAAAAACAAAACCCTACCACTGACCAGCATGACAAGATATCCTCAGAGGTGCAATAGTGGGACTTCTGTCGGGGTAACCAAGGTAAAAGCCACACTTGGACGTAAGGGACTCAAAGGAGTTCATACCTGATACTGTGAGCCCAGCCAACCTCATTTGCGGTCATTGACCCTAGAGGAGAACCTACTACCACCACTTTCCAAAACCAATATAATTTCATTTTTTGTTTTAAGCTTTACTTTATGTTTTGCTTGCATGTATATCTATGAAGACCATGTCTGATGTTCACAGAGACAGAAGCATCAGATTCCCTGGAACTGGAGTTACAGATGGGTATCTGGCATGTGGATGCTGGGGATTGAACCCAGGTCCTCCGGGACAGTGTTTCTAACCACTTAGCCATCTCTTTAGCCCCGGTATAATTTCTAGCTTCATTCTAAGTACTAATCCTTATACCAACAGACAAGTGTAGTTTTTGCCCTTCATCAAAGAAGCCTCTTTTTGCAGTAACAGAGACCATTTCAGAAATCCACAGCTGGCCAAAGTTCAGGAAATGGGTGATTAAAGAAAAAAAAAAAAAGGTGCCCAGCCTTAACTGGTTACAGCTACAGCACAAACCCTACATCTAAAACTGAGAGTATTGCCAGAGAGGGTACAGAAGGATTGTAAAAACCAGAGGACCAGGACATTTGCTATAGTGTCTCCTGTAGAAACTATGTCCATGAAATCTCAACAATCTGATCGCTTAAACAAGACCTTCACAATAACACTGCCAGTTGCCAGGTTGATCTGGCTGGGGAACCTCACAAGACTCCACCAACAGGGAAAGAACTATAGGCAGCTGATGGCTGCCGAGGGGAGGACAATCAGTCTTCACCAAGGATGGGCTTCCTGATAGGTGCTCCAGCCCCAAGCGGTCAGCCTTAAACACATGTACAGGCAAGTGGCGCTAAATGGACCCAGAAGGTTATATGCATGTGTGTGTGTGTAAATGTACATGAAAGTAATAATTAAAGAAGAGGTCGTGACTTTGAAAAGGAGCGGGCACACAGCAGGAGTTGGAGGGGGAGAGGGTGGGACAGAAAGTATGTAAGTACAGTGTCATGTGGGATTCTCAAAGTTAATAATGTTAGTCTGCTTAACAAGATACAGAATGCGGGGTGATCAGGAAAGAAAATGATAAAAATGTCTGAAACCTTTCTGCGGTGATTGAATGAGAATGGTCCCCAACAACTCATGTTTGAACCAGTTGGTGGAACTGTTTGGGAGGGATCAGAAGATGTGGCCTTGTTGGAGGATGATCACTGGGGTGGACTTGGAAGTTTCAAACAACTCAGGCCATTCCCAGTACCCTCTCTGCCTGGCTTTGGCCATGGTGTTTTATCACAGCAATAGCAATAGAAGAGTAACCAAGACATTACCCTTAAAAAGGGAAAAAAAAAAAAAAAAAAAAAAAAAAGCTTTCAACTTGTTAAAAACTTTGGAAATCAACTAGTGTTATAACAACCCAAAAATACTACAGAAAAGTAGCTGTCAGCAAGAAGAGAAAGCAGGTGGGAGTTGGGCTTCCCCAGGGCCCTTGCTTTGCCTCAAGCTCAACAGAAGCCTTGAAAATACCAGACATTGTTCCCAAATACCACTGCATAGAACGGAGTTAGAGGTAGGTCTGTCAAAGCTCCATTCCCAAAGATTGTTATCACATGTGTTGTGATGTCACTTGTCCCTTGTCCAAATAGTGTAGGACCAACAGTATTCAAACTTCTGGGGGTCTTCTTTGTTTGTTCTCAGGTATTGAAATATCTACATATACAGAATGAAGGCTCTTGGTGATAAAGCTGAAATCTCAGCAGAGAATTCCTGTTCCATGTTCCCCTTACATGCATGGCCTGAGGTCAGTAGGTACAGTGCACCTGTATTTCAACTGTCACCCAGGTCCCGAGAAGAAAATGCTGCTGGGGTCATCTTGGCACTCAAAAAGTTTTGGGCTTGGGTACATTGTGGGCATTTTGAGGGTGCAAATTCTCAATCTGCATTACACTCAGCTGGCCATATCCTAGAGAAGCAGTTCTCAGCCTTCCTAACGCTGCGACCCTTTAACACAGTTCCTCATGCTGTGGTGACCCCAGCCGTAAAGTTGTTTTCATTGCTGTAAGTTTGCTACTGCTATAAATGGTAAGTATTTTTCGGATACAGGGGTTTGCCACAGGTTGAACATTACCTAGACAATGACCAGAAAGGCTTGCCTCATCCCACCTGACTCAGGGCCTTCCCAGTGCTAAATCCTCTTTCCAGCTGATGTTCCTTTCAGGGGTTCACAGGTGCCTTGGTTTTGGGATGACGACTATAATATGAAGACCCTTGGGTTGTAAATTTACTTCTGAAATGAAAATATCCCTTTCATTATCTTGGGCACAGTGGCAAGACACAGGTTGGGGAGCACCCCTCCCCCACTCATTGCACCTGGAGAATATTGTAATGAGAAGAGTGGGAGCTGGAGAGATGGCTAGGCTCTGAGTCAAAATAATGAGAAGAGCGAGGATTTGGGTTTGTTTGTGGTTGTTTTTTTTTTAAACCTCTGCTAATCAGGCTTCAATTTGTTATAACAAATGCCTGACAGAAACAGTTTAAAGGGGAAAGGATTTATTTTGGTTCATGGTTTCAGAAGTTTTAGTGGAAGGTCAGGCGGATCCAAAGCTTTTGGCCTGATGGCAGACACAACATCCTGGCAGTGGGCTGTGTGCAGACGCGACTCACAGTGGCCCAGAGGCAGGGAGAGACAACGCAAAAGGCTGAGTGAGAGATGCGTCTTTGCCAGGGTATTTCCCCAAAGACCCACTGACTCCGACCGCTTTCCTTAGACCCACCAGGTCCCAACAGTCCTTTCATGGCCGACCTTGAAGTCAACCTGGAGTTGGGCAGACGCCACATGCTCTAACGGCCTCTGAATCTGCCCTCAGAGGCACACCCAGAGAGTTTTCCTAACCACCTCGGTGTCTCTCAATCCAACCGAACTGACCACTAAGATTAGACACCTCAAGATCTGACCCTTAAAGAGCATCCCTGAGAGTGCTGTTCAGGCTTTTAACCCTAGTTCCATTGAGTACCAAAGTCTCGTCCCCACACCTCCCAGTCCACACTTCTGCCATTTTGAATTTCTTCCTTCCGTGGTCTCTCTGGATGCTGCTTCCTGCGGGACCACTGTTAGGGACAAGGACTCAGAGGTTGGTACTGGCTTGTCCTTGTCGCTGCTTAGCTGACTGTCCATGCCTGCAAGGCCTGCAGGTCCGCACCGACGGCCCCCGGGGTAACAGTCCTCGTGTCAGCCCTGTGCAGTGGGGAGGGGCTGTACATCCATAAGCCGATGTCAGCTGTCTTGGCAGGGCGCCTTTCACGTCCTCCTCCTTCAACGGCTTGAATATTGGTTAGATTTTGAATTCACTTTACATTTTGTTCACTTGTTTATTGGGTGTGTGAAGGGTGTGTGTGTGTGTGTGTGTGTGTGTGTGTGTGTGCGCGCGTTATTTTTATTTCTTTGAGAATTTTGTACAGTGTATCTTGATCACATTCATTCCTCTCCCCAACTTCTCCCAGTTCCACCCCTTCTCCCACCACTCCTTGCCTTACCCGTCTCATTTCAAACTCTCTAACACTTCCTGTCTCCTCCTCCTCCAGCCACTACCTCGAAGCAGATGTCTCGATCCTCTGACTCTTACGTTCTTTCCCTTTCCTCTTCTGTAATGTTCCCTGAGCCTTGGGAGTTGTGTCGTAAAGTCTTGAGTGGGGACAGACAGCCCA